TATCCCTTTGGCTAGTTCAGGGCACCTCTCCCTGCTCCCTCCCAGTTTGTTCTCGCTGGCAGAGCGGGGTACAGGGAAGAAAACATCCTTGCTTTGAGATAAACACAGCTTAGCAGAAAGCAGAACAGCAGCGCTTGGTGTGAGGTGCTCGGTACAATCAGTTGGTGCTGTCTGGGTGCTCTGTCTTTTTTGTTCCAGAGTCATCATTGTAGTGTCACTTCTTAATTAAGCTTACACCGCTGGGAGACTCCGTTGTGATTTCGTAAAGTTTCTCATGCTGTTTCTCAGTGGTTTGCAGGTGACTGTTGTGTGTTTGGTTATGGGTACAAGCTCAGTAGGCTCACCCTGGTTATGCTGTAAAGTTTGGAAAAGAAGGGATTGATACGTCTGCATGTGTTCTACTCAAGAAAAGGTTATGGGGAGTGAAGGAACATGTGTCTTTATCACTATCTAAAAAAAAAAGCAGCCCAAACCTAAATCCCAGTTACTGGCTCCACACCTGTTTCTCTTGAGACTTCATAGCAACTTTCCAGTATCTGAAGGGGCTACAGGGGAGTTGGAGAGGGATTCTTTGTTAGGAGCTGCAGTGACAGGGCAAGGGACAATGGGTACAAATTGAAAGAGGGAAATATAGGTGTTAGGAAGAAGTTTTTTTCCTGTGAGGGTGGTGAGACACTGGCACAGGTTGCCCAGGGAGACTGTGGCTGCCCCAACCCTGGCAGTGTTCACAGCCAGATTGGATGAGCCTTGAGCAACCTGCTCTGGTGAGAGGTGTCCCTGCCCAGGGCAGGGGTTGGGACTAGATGATCTCTAAGGTCCATTCGAACCCCTAAAATTCTGATTCTTGATTGTGGTCTTTTCTTACGTTTGTATTATGTGATAGAGAGAACATACACTGTTACGTTGGTGAAGCTGAAGATCAGAGAACTGTACACTTTAGTCCATAAATATTATTTAACTGTTCTGAAGCATGAATATAAAATCTTAATTTTTTTTTCAGAATGTTATGCTGACTTCTTCAGAGAAGACTTTGATGTGAAAGCTTACACTTCCCAGTCTATCCATCAGGCTGTGATAGCTGAGCAACTGGCGAAACTTGCCCAAGGTATTAGTCAGTTGGATAAAGAGCTGCATTTACAAGTAAGTTTAAAGCATACCTGTTGTTCTGGGGTACAAACTAGTCAAAACCTGAGTAATCTTATGATCTTGTAACTTGTGAAATTGCCCAGTGTCCTCTGCAAGCAGCAACTAAAGGTACAACTTGCAGACAAACTAGTGGTGACTCTGATAACTCAGTTAAGCCCACACTCAGTTCTCCTACCAAGAAGCCATATACCATTTCAGTTTCTGCAGTCTGTCTCTGTATACAGAGATGTATGTCTCTGCAGCCTCTCTCTGTTCTACTCCTCGTAGGTATGTACCCTGCCTCTTTCCAAATGATGATGTCAGCTATCAGGAACACTGGCCCTTGTTTTGGGGTGACAGTTGTGAGACAATAGGGAGAACTTGCACCCTTTCATCCTGTGCTGGAGAGTAGCCTCAGCCCTAAGACTTACCTTTAGGTAGGCAGATATGTCCTATGTTAACACACCTCTGCACCTTCACTTTGAGTTTGAACAGTACAAGACTTTTTCTGTGCAGAACCCCCAAATCCACAGTGGACCTTGAAGTGAGAACACGTGCTAAGTTTATGTGTAGTTTCAAAAGCTGCTTCCTTCCTCCCCTGCCCCAATTGGTAATTTATTTGGGAACTAGTTTCTAAATATCATAAACAGAAAAAACCCCACTGAATATACGTTATTACTCTGTGTTTAGTAAGTTCATATTTACAATTATTGTGATATTTGAAGATGTGTTGAAATGTGGTTGCTCTCCTGGCTTTAGTTAAGATGTCAGCTGTGCTGCAGTTGCTGACCCTCTTCTCATTCTTAGCTTGCTGCTTTTGTGAATTAAAACCCTTTTGTGTTCTGAAAACACTTTCATCTTTCAGGTGTAGCTGCTTTGTCCTATGTCTGCCTAATGCAGGGATGGTGATACTTCAATGCCTAATGTAGGAATGATGATGATGTATTAATATTCCTTTTAGGCACACATCCCCATGTTTTTTCTGCTGATTTCTATATTCTGGTTTTTTTAAGGTTGTTGCAAGACATGAAGATCTGTTGGCCCAAGCAACTGGGATTGAATCCCTGGAAGGTAAGTACTGGTATATTATGCTTGCT